GGGGGGGACAGGGCTTCCTGAGCCTCTTCAATGTTTGTGACAGATGCGCAGTCTTGTGTGGGTCCTGTGAAGGTTCTCTCAGCTGCTGACCACACCACAGTGCAACAGCCACGCCTTGCCCAGAACACGGCACTCCACAGCCCTCCACCCTCAGGCTTCTGCCCTCTCTTCTGTAACATCACTTGGGTCTTGGAAGGGGCGTCCCATAAGGGCTAAGCATTCAGCTGCCACACATACTCAGTACTGTGACTCGTTTATGGGTCTCTGCCCATAGCAAAAATGAAGCCTTGCTTATGAACATGACTTTGTAAGCATAAAGATAAATATTCAGAAGGCCATTTGAGAGCCATATCTTGTCCATCAAGCAAAACACCAGCAATGGCTTCTCTACTGTGGCCCATGCCAGCCTCAGCTTTTGATGATTTTCTCTTGAGTTGTTAATCCAGCTGGGACTCCCTCCTGCCTTGTTTCCAGTGCCTGATGTCAAATAGCCAATGAAGGCTGATTACATTCAGAACTGGGTCCTTTTGGGTTAAAAGTTTGCAGGCATTCAGACCTGTAAAACAAAAGGTTCTGGGCTTCTCAGGGAGAGTGACATAGAAATATGACTTCTAGCTGCTCGGTGCTTCCACAGGAAGGGCTGGGGCTCTAGAGGTGGGCAGAGGAAGGGTCTTCCCACCAGAAGAAACAAGGAGGCAGCATCCTGCAGAGCAGTGTGCACCTGGGGACCCTCAGGCCCCTCCACCTGCGCCATCCATTCATATTCTAATCATCTTCTGATTGCAGCCAAGTCCCCAAGACACTGGTGATAGAAATTTTAGGAGCTGAAACAAGAAATGTCTAATAAAACCCTGAGAGAAATGCCAAGAAAGCAAATAAAAACAGTGACAGGAACAAGATACAAGACTGCCTGTGTTTGGTGATATAAATAAAGCATAAACGAAGACACAGTGATGTGAAAGATATGAGCAGGCATAGCCATAAAAGTCCCATAAACCGCTGCGCATTGCACCGAGGGTTTCAGGCTCGGGAGATCCTCCCCCAGGCTGGCAGAGGAGGGGTCACCACCTTAAAAAGTAAAGTGAGCCTTGGCCTCCGACTGCTCAGATGGGTGCATAAATGGGCAGTGAACAGCATCTTCCTTTAAAAAAGAAGTTTAAAACTGTGTGTGTGCAAACATACAGGCCCGTGTGTGTGTGTGAGTGCATGCAGGCCAGAAGAGGGTGTCACAGCCCTTGAAGTTGGGGTTGCAAACCCTTGCTAGGATGCCATGCTTGCTGTATGGCTGCTGGGATCTGAAGTCTGGTCTTCATGATTGTGTAGTGAGGGCTTTCACCACAAAGCAGCCTAACCATGCTGCAGCCTTGGAAACTCAGTTCTGGAAGAGTCCTGATTTAATATTCACACCCTGGGAGCCACAGTCCTGCTGCAAGAAGTCCATCCAGAGTCCTTCTGCAGCATCCCCAAATCCATGCAGAAGTGTTTCCTCCCCAGGATGATTTATAGTGGAATAACTTGAGAAGGCCAGGAAAGGGAGCTCTACACAGCCACTGTTGTTTTAAGCTCCTGACAATGTATGAACATGTGTCCAGTGTGTTCACCCCATCGCCCTTCGCTGTCTGCTCCCTCTCCTGCTGATGGCCTCTTTCTAGCAAGCCCCTCTTTCCCTACTGGTGTTTTTATGACCCACTGGCTTGCTTAGGTTACTTCTGTAAGCATGAGTGGAGCTGTTTTCCAGAGTGTGGGCAGCCTACCCATGGCTAACTACTGAGGAAGGTAACTTCTGTTTCCCCAGAAACCTGTTAACTTATGCAACTATTTTTAAAATGCATACGCAAATAAGCTGAAAATGATTGCTTTTATAATGATTAAGTAGGAAGGAAAAGTATGGGGTAAAAGAAACCATGGTCTTACCAGTATACATTCAAAAAGTGATGATAAATGAAAGACAGATATAGAGGTGACAATAGCTGATAAGCAGGCAAGAGATTATAAATATATTATAGCTCCAGAGTATAGGTATAACTAGATGACCGGTGGACAGATGATAGTGTATGTTAGAGATAAGTAGACAGAAATAGAAGAAAAAGAGCCATTGATCATAAGCAGATGACAGACCGTGATAGATCTCAATGGGAGAGAGAGGCGCATTACCTAGAATTCATGTACTGTGTCCACATAGTTTTACTGCTTGTGTCTCAGAGAAGCAGCAGCAGAGGAAACTCAGGTTGCTTCATGCTGCGAGTGCTCAGCTTCCAAGCCTTACTTTACAGAGAGAGGAGGCGATGACCCTCTGCCTCAGAGCTCCCTTAGGGCTGAAGTTTCCTGCTGCAGCCAACAAAGCACCCACACAGCCCAGGGAGCACTGACAGTCTTCTGCAGCACCTCCTGCGAGATTAATTGCCTCTATTTTGGGACGAAACCCTCCAGGCACCTGCTGCTGTGTGCCCGGCAGAATCATAAAACCCCTCACCCAGCGGCTGGAGACCCGGGTGAGCCAGCTCCAGCCCAAGCTTTCCCAGCCCAGGGGAGGTGGGGTCAGCTCTTGCCAGGATGTAGCCAACCTTGCAGCCACGTTCCTGAGGGGCCCCTGGTCAGCAGCTGCTGGCCATCAAGAGTTCACACACCACACACAAGGCAGCAAGGCTGTGTGCCCTGATCTTGTCAGTTCTCACTGCAAGCGCAGTTTCAAGATAGAATTTTTTCATTTTGCCATGGAAGAGACTGGGTTTCAGAGAAGCCATAGAGTTGGGGCAAAGTCAATCCACCAAGGAGAGGATGGATTTAAAAAAAAAAAAAACTTGCACGAGGCCAGCACATAGGTAAACTATGGTAGCCTTGGACAGTCCTTGTGGAGGGCAGCCCCCTGGCAGGAAAGGTCATGGGCACCCATGGCATCTCCACACCCACACTTGTGGCTACATCTTGTGAACAGCCCAAGTTGGTAGACTGTGGCACAGGCTTGTTTCAAAAGATGATTAGATCACCTTCCTCTTCTGGAGGAGAAGAATAGCAGATTAAAAAAGAAATACGACAGGCCCCCGAGTGCCCGCACAGCTCCCCTGAGAGCCGCACTTCCACCTCAGCCCCTCATTCTAGACATGGAGCCAATTAAAGTAGCTGCAGAGCATTTAAGCTGGGCGGCAGAAGCCTGCTTAAGAGCTTCTAAAGAGCCGCTTTGCCCGCAAGCTGCACCCACAGAACCGTGGCTGGCCCGTTACCCTACAACCGTGCAGGTCGAATCAGCTCTGAGGCACTTAGAGCTGCCTCACAGGCCCTGCAATCACCCCATCCACGGACACAGTGACATGGGAGAGGGGAGGCAGCAAGCCTTACATGTCCAAACCCTGGCAAGGCGCTGCCTTAGGATGTCTTCATCCTCTGTCCTGCCCGCAGCCCCAGCCCACACTTACACAGCTTTGAAAGGGCCAACGTGGCTTTCCTCTGAGAAGCCCCACCACACAATCAGGCAGTGTCCTCTGTCTCATCGCCTCAGCCCCGGACAGCCAACGTGTGCACAGAGACCAGTGTGCACATCAGTTCCCCATGCCTGTAGCAAACCCCTTGGAGAGGTCCTCTCAAAACCAAGTCTTCCGGTGTTTGCACATGCCGTGTGGGCGTGCTCACAGCCCGCGCACACAGTGAATAAATGTAATGGCTGAAATGGAGCCTCTTCTATTGGTGTCCATGTGTGAAAGTCTCAAAGGTGAAGCTTCTCAAAAAGTTTTAGAGGAAAGGTTGGGGATGAGGAGATGGTTCCAGTGACACTTTCCTCGTAAGCCGGACTTAGAGCCCAGAGCCTGCATAAAAAGGGCGAAGGAGCCTTGCCATCCGAGAGCTGAGGACAGGGTAAAAGAGACGGAGACCCTGGCTGCAGCTGGCCTCAGCCTAGCCAACGGCGAGCCCCAAGCCCTGGGAAAAGACTGCCTCAAAGTTAAAATGTAAAAAGATAACACAGAGGGGCTAGAGATGGCTCAGTGGCTAAGAGCACGGTCTGCTCTTCCAAAGGACCCAGGTTCAATTCCCAGCACCCACATGGCAGTTCACAACTGTTTGTAACTACAATTCCAAGGGATCTGACACCATCACACCAGTGCATATAAAATAAAATTAATTATTAAAAAAAAGATAAGGTAGGTGGATCTGAAAAATAGCACTCAAATGACCTGGCCTCTACACATGTGCACTCAAACAGGAACATACATCTGCATCATTTACCTCTATATGCATACATATATATACCATGCCACACCATACCATACCATACCATACCATACCATACCATACCATACCATACCACAGCGCACCGCACCACACCTCACCATACCATACCATACCATACCACAGCGCACCGCACTGCACCTCACCATACTGTACCGCACCACACCGTACCGTACCATGCCGTACCGTGCCGTACCATGCTGTACCGTGCCGTACCATGCCGTACCATGCCGTACCGTGCCGTACCGTGCCGTACCATACCATACCATACCATACAATGTGAGAAAGAGGTTGATTGACGGATGGATGGATGGATGGATGGATGGATGGATGGGTGGGTGGATGGATTGGGCTCATGATTTTGGCAGCCCATGACTGATGACAACGTCACTGCAGCAAATATTGGCAAAACCATCCATCTCATCATGGGACATGAAGAGAGGAGGAGGAAATGATTGGGTCCCTCAATCCTCTTCAAGGTCACACCTCCAAAGCCCTCAGACCCCCCACTAAGCCCCGCTTGTCAAAGCTTCACCTCCTTCCTGTAGCACCAGTCTCTGCACCAATCTTTTGACATGTAGGCCTTTGGAAGACAGGCAGGAGCCACACTATACCACTGGTGATGAAAAGTGAGTTTTGTCTGCATTAGACCCTAGCCGAGGAGTTCCAAAAAAATAATTATCCAAACAGAGGAGAAAACATAAATCAGATAAGAAAGGGCGACAGATATGATATGCCCGTGGCTCTCATTTCAGCTGCTTCT